AGCCGGCATTGTAGTCTACTCTACCAGGATCAGGAAACAGTCCTCCATAAAATGTGCTGCACACATCTGAATATTTGGATTGAACTGTTCTGGAACAGTGTTTGAAATACAACTTAACCACTGATTTCTAGTTGTGTTCTCTTTTGGAAGCCCAAACAAAGTAGTGTCGCTTTCACAACAAAACACACAGCGTCACACACGGTGGCTCGAGTGAGCGGAGGCTGGCGGGCTTGAGTGAGAAATGGCCGGCGGGCTTGAGAACGGCGCGGCCGGCAGCAACCACATGTTATGACCCCGGGCTGGACTCCGCTTCGTCCACGGTGAAAGCCGATCCACAGCGCGAAGTTGATGTATTTCCTCAGCGACCAGCACAGATCAGCTCTAGGCATGACGAAGCGGATATCGTCCTCTTTTGGAAGGCCAAACAAAGTAGTTTCGCTTTCACAACGAAACACACACGTCTCCACGACATGGCGACGGCGGTAACAACAATACTACAGCGAGAATCAAAGTTGCACCTTCTTTCTTTGCGTGAACATTTGGGCGGTGTTATGCAAATCTTCCCACACAGTGACGTAGACATGTGGGTGCGTGTTTAAATGAGGCGTTTTAGGAGGGCATGGACAAGTCTTAACTTTTATAAAGAATATCTCTTTGGGTTTGAGACTTTAGTCTTTGCAACTTTAGGGATCTTATCTATGCACGAACAGCTTGTAACACTCCAAAGAGAAAGGAAAATTTGAAATTGCATCATATGACCCCTTTAAAGGTAGGGAAGGTGATTTTGGAAAAGCTAGCAATAGCAAGCTAGCTTTATAAGCAAGTTCCTCACCCTCCCGGCATAATCACTCATGAACGCACTCAGGCAGACCAGAGACTAACCTGCTACATGATGAGAGACGGCGTTGGTGGAGGATTGAATGCAATGCTGTCAGATTACCTCATGTCTCATTCGCCACTGAGAAAACATCACAGTACAAAGCACATGATATTACAATAATAGCGCCTTTCATTCTCGCTGGAATGTGCTGATGATGTATCATGTCTGCGCAAACAGGGTGCGCAGAGGTATACAACTACATATTTGGTACGCAGGCATGACAGCCTATTGTAATGTTCGGACCGAACATTTCGATTGGACGAACATTATATGGTCCTACCCTACGCCTTCCACAGACGATATGAGTACATATAAATAAAATTTAGCCCATTTAACTTGGTGATTGCTATTGGGATGTGAAGATACTTTCAACCAGCATACAAAAAACAACAAAAAATGTTTTTGAACCAAATCTCATACCCTTTACTTAACTTTATGTATTTTTAAAACTCCTGATGACATTTATTGAAACTTTTACATTTCCAGTGACCCCTTAATAGTTATTTTTGGTGTGTTTTCTGTGTGAAAATGCTAACCTCTACTTTATTGTGATCTACTATCTAACTGGCTCATTGCTTTGACGCAGGACTCAGAATGATGAAATCTGATGAAGTTGCCTACACGGCAGCTCAATATTTGTGCTCATTAAAATATGTCTTATCAGTTCCCAGATGATTTTTCTCAGGGCAGAGTTTTTCTTAATGTGAAGATCTTAAAAATGTATCTGTTGAAATGATTGTATTTTTTATTAGAACAATGTCTTTTCATGTTTTATGTCATTGTAAATCCATCACACCAGAGCTGCATTATCTGGCCAAAAATTGGCATGCAACTGATGTTGCGATGACAAGTTTAACTGTGATATGATAAAAATGTAAAGCTAAAACAGATTAAAACAGCAACTCTTGGGCAAAATGCTGAGGGCTCCTGCATATCTTGACACCAGAGCATCATGGAGATATGGAGTTGACTGTTTTGACGGTTTCTTTTATTAAACAATGTATAGTTCTATATATATTCTCTAATCAATATATAGTTCTGTCATTTTTTTTTAGAATAACCATAACACTTAACACATGTAACATATTTTCATGGTCTTACTGAATGGATAATCGGTTCTTTCTTTCAACAAAAAAAGTCTTTATACTCTAAAATGTAATCAAAATGTAAGTTTCTCTTCCTCCGAAGCAATGTTCATTTTCGGATTACTGCATATGCAGCATAGGGCAATATGCTCACTCTAGAGAGCAGCCCAAAAAATGACCTATATTGTGTAACATAAAAATCTATTTCAGTGGACATGGCAGACTAATACATGGACACATACATAGGCCTTACATAGTCATAGTTATGTGTTCAGATGTTACTGATGTTACTGTTCTAAACTCTGTATCTCTGTATCTCTCTCTCTCTCTCTCTCTGTGTGTGTGATGGTTTCAGTCACCCCACAAATTGCAGCAGACAGTCTCTAAACAGTCCTGGAGGAACAGAGATGGATCTTCTGGTCATGAGAGAGAGACCCAGAAAGGGGATCCGTAACAGTGGCTATGATGTGAGTGTTCTTAATGAAAAGCTGCATAAAACATTAGCAAAAATGGTAAGGCTTCAAAAACACAGCTGGCAGAGCATGGTGCCAGGAACAGCAAGGTTGTGGCTTTGGATAAAAGCATCTGTCAGATGCATAGATATATAACACAGGACAGTTACAAATGATTTTGTAAGGCATTGCTTGATTGTTATTGGGTGGAGTTGTGGTTGGGTTGTGTTATGCTTGGTTAGTTATTGCTGCTGCTAGTCTACTCAGGATTTGCTGTTCTGACTTTTTTATTTTATTGTATTATTTTCTTTTAACAAAAACAAGTGCAGGTCATTTTAAAGAATAATCATAAGTTCATCACGATGGAAACAGAAGCACAATGATCTGGTTTGCAGATGGGAATAAAGAATGGATTCAGTGTTGACAACTTCTTATTTCTTTACTGTAAATAAATAAATTAAGCTTCTAAGCAAGAAGCTTACATGTGACATTATCAACGCAGAGTCAGTGGCACACATGCAGTCGTGTCCTAGATCTTAAGTGAAATTCACATGCTGACTATGTACACCTCTCAGCGATGGTAAACATGCTTACGTGTTATATTTGAAATAGCTTACCTATTTTCAGCATAAAAATAATTACTTTCTGAGTAAGTGGAAAACTGTCCTCTTTATGCATGTAGTATTTAAAAAAGCACATAGTTTTGTCTATGTCCATATTGTATAAGTTATACTCTTGTGGATTCAACTCTTTTCATTTGTGTCCCTGTACGTAATGTGGATTCTGTCTCTGTGTGAAAAAAATATCTTTAGTTCTATTGATTATAGTGGGAATTATTTGCTGTTGGCTAAATTACTGCAGATCCTCGTACTGATGCTGTAAGAAGGACTGTTTTATGTGGTGCGCTGCACCACATCTCTTGTACAAGTACTTCATATCTCACATTTGATGCACAGGAAGGAAGAAAGAAACAGACTGTGTCTGAAACCTGTATGAATGTACTTTTTAAGGAAACCATCCTACGAATTTTAGATTAGCTTCATCTAATGATCCAGCTTATAGAATTCCAGTAGCAGATTTCTAAAGAGGCCAACATTCCCCTAGGCCACTGATGTATATAATGACTGGATTGTTCATACTGCATTCTAAAAAGAAGAAATTGTTAAATAAAGTCATTATTTTTGTTTTCTTTGCGCACAAAACATATTCTCGTAGCTTCAAAAAATTAATGTTGAACCACTGATGCCACATGGACTATTTTAATGATGTCCTTACTGCCTTTCTGAGCCTTGAATATGGTAGTTCCGTTGCTGTCTATGCAGGGTCAGAAAGCTCTTGGAGATCATCAAAAATATCTTAATTCGTGTTCTGAAGATGAACAAAGGTCTTACAGAATGACCTGAGAGTAATTAATGACAGAAATATGTTGAGGATCTCGTCCGTCTGATGTTTATCATGTTAATCTGATGTTCGCTACTGTAATGAATATGGTACGCAACTTTTCAATACACAGGGGGAATTCCCAACATTAAACAAATAACTATATATTTGTTTAATATATTTGTAAAAACGCTGACTCGTTATGTGATGTTTTCTCATTAAAATTGTACAATTCCCTGTTAATTCAATGGCGGTGCAGTGGCTTCACTTTTGTGACATCATGGCAGAATGCTCAAATGGGCCAAGTTTTCTACAAACTTTGCTAACTAGTTTTTTACTCATATTGTCTAGTCAAATGTATTTCTATAGCACTTGCAGTGTTAAACCATGTAACCATGTGCCCCGCTCAAATGTGTTTGGGAACTTGCAAGTGTCTTGGTGGAACATTAGGGAAACATCTGCAACAACTGGCAATTCTGGTGCAGTCCATGATGATGAGATGCAATGTAGTGGCCACACAAAATACTTAATGTGATATTGTATCCCTCTCCCTTGTCTTTAGGGACTCATTATTCCATTTCTGTATGCCAAATAACTGTTAAACTTCACTAATGCACTAACCTAACTTGAGACAGTATAAAGCTGAATATCATTGGGATATCACTGGGAATGAATAATGACTCCATGTTTCCTGACAATGTTGCCCAGGGGAAGATTATACAATGAAAAAAGCAGGGGGCCTAATACTGATCCCTGTGGAACTTGTGTGTGATCTGACATGTCTTTATTAACACAAATAAACTGATAGTGATTATGGCAGGATCTAAACCGTGCTAAAGCCTGCCCACAAATGGTGACACCTATACGCCATCCGCTGGAATGGCACTCTCTCATGTATGACAGTTAGTGATAGCTAGAGATTACGGGTTATAAAGTTTTAAATGTGGATGTTTTTCTTACACAAACGCATTGATTTGCTTCAGAAGGCCTTCATTAACTCCCCAGAGCCATGTGGAGTGCTTTTTATGATGGTTGGGTGCACTTTATTGGACTTCAAAATCTCAACACCTATTTACAGCCATTATAAAGCTTGCCCAGGACATTTTTTTAATATAACTCAGAGTGTATTCATCTGAAAGAAGAAAGTCATATAAACATAGGATGGCTTTAGGGTGAGTAAATCATTTTAATTTATTTTTTTTTTTTGGGTGAACTATTCCTTTAACCCTACCATACCTAAACATAACTGTGTTGTGAGGGAATATCAGGATTTGTCATTGCTTTGTTCTTTGTCATTCTGGCTACTGAATAAGTTTGGCTTATTTTCTTGGAAATATGCTGTTCTTGGAGCTTTCAGACCCTCTCTATAGGTGGAGACATTATCCTTCCATGCCTCTCAAAATAAAATTGTACTCTTCCACCTGTGCTCTGAGAAGCATCTTGAGCTCACAAGTGGGGTTGTTATACCATGGAGCAAGGCATTTCTCTTTAAATTTCTTTAATCCAAAAGGTGTGACACCATTTAAAATGTACAAATAGCTTCTGGCACAGCATTCTTTTACAGCATTCACGACTGAAAAGAGCACTTTACCATTAGCGATTAAAGATGCAGGGGCTCAGGATTCTCACCATTCTCACCAGTTATTCATCAGTTACTCAGTCGCTCTATTTCACATTTTGCAATACTTACAAGTTCAGTTCAAGTGTTATTTTAATAAATACCTGCAATTGGGTTCACCACCAAAACACTCTCTCTTTCTTTCTGAGTCTGGTATATTCCTGACGGATGGATTGTGGGAGAGGAAAAACAGAGGGAAAGACAAAATACACAGATTCATCAGGTTGTTGGGTTGTTGCAGTCTTTAATCACTGCAGCACTTTCTCATTGGGCTTGTGCACCACAGAGGTCTGATGAATAAACAAAACTCCCACATTGTTAAGCCAACCAGGATTGAATTAGAATAGATTGTACACCGTGTATTTCTGCTATTATTGTGTGTTTTATGAGTATTTGTGTTTAAGATAGAAAGAGACACATGAGAGACTCACAAAGCATAAGAGATTTGGATGATTTGGAAGATAATGATCACTCGTTTTACCAGCACATGATTCACTTGTTCCAATGAAAGCTCAGGGGTCATGTTATGAAAAGATTTAAAATGAAAATGGTCATTTGGGATGGACGGGAAAGTACCTGATTCACAAAGCATCTCAAAATGGTAGGGCTGTTGTGGGAACAGGCAGAGTGCAGGTGTAGCTTATTATCAAAATAAAGAAAGAAATGAATGATGTGACAAGATTTCTTTCTTTCTTTATTTTAATCTTGACAGTTTTACCTGCAGATTGCTGAAAAACCATTGACATGTTATAAGATTGAAAATCTCCTTAAATTAATCTCCTTTTTTAAATCTCCAGCCAACTGAATTTTTTTGAAAAATTTAATCTTAACTCAGAAAACCAGTACGTACTGAGTTCTATGTACAAAACTCTATGTATAGTATAGGTTTAAGATGTTATCATTTAGCTTACATAATTTTCCTTTTTCTTTCTTTCTTGTTTTTGTTATCAATATATTTATTTGTCATCTTGTATCTTTCTACACTGCTGTAAAAAAAACAGGTTGGAGTGATTGTAAACATTTTTATTATTTTCTTGACTTGTCTTTGGTGTGTATTGTGATACTTCTGGCCTGCCAGACTTGACGAATCATTTCAGGATCTTGGTAGGATTGTGGTAGTATCACAGAACAGCTCAAAATAGGCACTGAAATTTCCTGTATACTTGTTTGTTTTTTTCCTTTAGAGCTGAAATTGTGTTAGTTCCATCATGTTACAGCTGATTATATAATTTGATATGCCAAAAGGAATAATTAAAACTGTTAAAATTGTCATCATTTATTTCCTATATGCTTATAAACATTTATGCCATCTTTTTTTTTTTTTTATCAGTGCATAGCAAAAGGAGATATTATGAAAATGTCCATGCTGATCTTCTCCATACGGTGACCAGGGGCTGCCAAAGTACCAAAACAGCATAAACCATTATAAAAGTAGTTCATATGATTCATATGCTATAGTCCAAGTGTTCTGAAGCCATAGTTTTCTTTTTCCATCAGGTCTCAAATTTTAGCCATGCTTTTGCATTAAGTTACAAGACTTGAGAGAACCAATGGTGCACCAAGTTTGTATCAACAACAGCAAAAATAGCTTTTGGAGCTTCATTGTTCTAATTCTTTACATAAATGTATTGTATAAAACAGCATGGACATTTTCCAACAAATGAAAGAAATTCAAATGGATTTGGAATGACTTAAGTAACAGATGAAAGAATTACCATTATTGTTTAAACAATTCCTTTTTTTGTTTGTTTAATTTGAGCATCACAATTTAGACTTAGATTTTGTAATATACTGTATGTGCATCTGTTACTTTGTTCTATGTCTGTTGTAGACTGAGCCAGAGATGATTGAAGAGACTGATGTTGACCGACTGGCGGGCCGCCATTATTTTGGCTGTGGTCGACAAATCAAAGGTCAATCTGAGACATCAACGCTGAGTTCCCAGCCTTCCATAGATGAGGTTCGTCAGCAGATGCATCTGCTGCTAGAAGAAGCCTTTAGTCTAGCTTCAGCTGGTCACTCCACTTCCAGCAGACACCATCACTCCCACCATCAGCATCCATCACTGGGTCCCTATGGCTTGGGTCCAGTCATCCCGTACTCAGAGGTGGTGACCAGTGCACCGTGCACCACAAGTCAAGGGCAGGGAGGCCTACAGTGGGTGCCAGCCTGTAGACCAGACCCTTACCAGTGCAGCCTGGCCAAACAGGTACAGTTATAGATCTGATCTATATATATGTATGTATTGATATGTCAGAAATTATCTTTCTTGCTAAAAACTTCTATATGCTCATATGCAAATTTATCAAAAAGGCATTCAGGTTCACTCAGCTCCCTGAAATGGCTCTTGGGTCACCTCCACCCCCTGTCCCACCAAGAACAGGCCCTCCTCCTGAGTCATCACTGCAACGGTCAGGAACATATCCACGTTCTTTGCCTTTTTGTTCTGGCAGTGACCAATGCATCAGTTTATTCAGCACTTATTAAAGGAATATTTTCCCATAATTTACTATCGTTTCAAACCCTTCCGTGGCACACAAGAGGATGTTCACAATCCAAACAAGACAAATAAATGTGGATAAAGCTGTCAAAATAAAAAAAGACAAAGTACAATTAAAGTAGTACATATGACCTGTGTTCTATATTCTACAGTCTTCTGATAGCGTGTCATCATTAAGTCATTATTTCATTAAAAAGAAAACATGTCTGCTTAATATTCAAGTTCTGTATTCATGTCAATCATGGTGTCATTTGTTGTTGTAACTGATCTCACTGTTCCAAGTTAACTAAATTTTGGTCTTTTCCTCATGGAAAAATATTGTATGGTGTCAGAAGATTTGGAATATAAAGCTAATAACACACTCAACACTTTAAAGTCTGATGTATGAAATAACTAGAAAAAGTGCAGTTGCTAATATTTATATTGCCAAAAAGTAAAATTAAATTCTGATAGCTTGTAATGTAACACAGTGAGATCTTTATAACAGTATTGCACACTACTGACATAAAATGCACAAAAATGTCATCCGTCATTATATCTCCAAATGATATGTCTTAGTAAAGTAAGATGACACTTAAATGCTTAGTTTATGACCAAAGCTCTGTAGGTTTTATTCATATTTGATACATTATTGTTTTTAGAAAAAACAATGTAAACATGTATGGATAAATATATATAATACTGAGTTATTCTTACATTTACTTTTTACGTTTATACAAATCAGTACAAATTTCACTATAAACTATCAATCAGATGACACGAGGATTGTGCACAACAGTTTTGAACATTTAAAAAATTTAGAGCCTTTAGAAATCTGTATATCAAATATAATGCTTTAGAATGTATAGGGTTAATTATTTTCCTTTTTGGAGCTTGAAAGCATCAGTAGCCATTCAGTTCCATTGTAAGGAAAATAACAGACAGGACATTATGCTCAGCATTTCTACAGGAATTCAAATGGGTTTGGAACAACATGAGGGTAAATAATGTTATTTTGGTTGAAATATTCCTGCCAAATGCAAAATTTGTCATATTGAGGTTTATTTCAGTACTAAATTCAGAAATGTATTTTTAAATTTTGAGTAATTGTGGTGAAAAGTCATGTTAATTCTTTATGTATAAAGACAGCATATTGACTTTACTAGTAAATCAATACTGTCACCTGGTGGTGAAACCATGTCAATGCATGTATGAAATTGTTTTTCAGGACATCTTCTGATCTTGGTCTGAAGGGTCATTGCTCTGAGTTGTCAGTGCCGAGTCAGCATGACAGCGCCCCCTACAAGCCAAAAGGCAGAGCGCCACTCCCACCTGTCACTACTGAGCCCATTCCCAACCACTCAGGTTAGTGTGCGTGATTGTATGGGTTTATGTATGTCTGTGTACACTAACTAGTTTGCGTCTGTCTGTGTTTTTTCTTTACGAATTATAGTGCATTAGTTATGCATTATTATTATTTTAAGTTAGGGAAGTGTAACACCCTTTGATGCATAACTCATCCTGGACCATTGATGGTACATTTAGGATACTTTAAACCGTGAACTGCGTTGAGGAGAGTTTGGCTGCTTCATTTTTAAATGATCTGACAATAAAACAGGTAAAAATATCTTTGCTATTTTCACAAAAAAAAAAAAAAGACCTTATTAAATGTTTGCATCATCTTTATATTTTTAAGTGATAAATTCAGTTAGAATAATAAGACACTATAGGCTGTTACCAATAAAATTAAATCAGTATCGACAAAACACAATTTTATTTTGCAAAATCCATGCTAATTCATTCAGGTATGAAACACCACTGTGTGTTGCTCAGAGTTTCACTGCGGCTTTATTTAGAACTATTTTTTATTGGGAAAATAGATTAAAAACAGATAATCTTGAAAATATTGTGTCTAAAATGTAACTCACAACCTTAACTTCTTGTTTATTGAACTTTTGTATAAAATTAATATCACATTTGCAATCTGATAGGGTAATTTAGAAATATAACACAAAAACTTGCCTCAATGTATTGAATTTGGGGGCTATTCAAACTGCATTCTACTAGGCTACATTACACCGTAAACAGATACAATCTCAAGTTGTGCTTTTGTTGTTTGCAAAGTGAGTGACATTTGATAATTACAGTATTATCATAGACAATGCATATATTGCCCACCCCTACAAAACTCTCATCCTTTTTTTGTCCCACAGGAAACCCCATGACAGCAGTGTACGCCATCCCAGCCACTCATCCAGAATACACTGGATATTTCATCTCCACGCCACCCTCCTCTTACCACAGCCCATCCTGGATGTCTTACCCCCCTGAACCCGAGGATGTGCCTCCTCAGTGGGCCGAATCTGTAAGAATGCAGTTATCACACAGTCCTTTATCATGTGTCCAATTCTGCTGCACAAACTGGGTTGCATCCAAAGACCCCAATTTTACAGTGCATGCACCATTAATACAATTTAATGTGGCAAAAACCTCATGGACTGCAACCAAGGGAAGCAGAACTGATCTGTCACATGTGCCTCTATACATTGTTCTGAATTTAGGGGGCATTCTGTCAGATCATGTGACCTGCGCTTGGGCGCAAGACTCGTCTTTTTGGATTGTCCTTCTTATCCCTGTTTGTGTGTGCCTGCATTCACACGGTGTCTTTTTGCAGAACCAGTGTCATTTAGAAACCATGTGCTGAACTGAATTTATCGCTGACGTTGAGTGGAAACAACAAATTCCCAGGGTAGATGAGCACATTTCTTCAAATGAACACTTTTCTTTTTATTTCATTCTTTCCTCTGTCACGAGCAGGGTTGTGTGCCATTCAGAATCGAATTGTGAATACCTTTAAAATTCCAGGTTTTGAATTGAGGAAAGCAAACCAGATGAAAAATTGAAGTAGCATTAAAAAAATAATGAAATTCAATAAAATGTATATATCCTATAGATATAGCCATGTTCATATTCTGATATTGCATTTGTACTACGATTTAAAAACATTCTTAAGAATAAAATTCCTTTTTTTTTTTTTTTTTAGATTGTACAAAACTTTTTTTTTTTTTTTACTTTTATAACCTATCAAGTAAATCGTCTCGGGTTACACATGTAACCATGGTCCCCTGAGAGGGAACGAGACACTGCGCCCCCGACCGGTGTCTGAAGCACGTGTGAAACAACGGCAATCTATTGGCCCACCTGGTCCAAGACGTCATAGGCGGGATGCACGGAAGTATAAAAGGGCACCTGATGAATACGTCATCCACTTTAGCTGTCTGAAGGAGACGTAGACAGGCAGGGCGAAGGCATGGCAAGGGGACGCAGCATCTCGTTCCCTCTCAGGGAACCAAGGTTACATGCGTAACCTGAGATGTTCCCCTTCTAGGGAACTCAATGCTGCGCCCCCAAGGGGGCACATTGGGGAATGAAATCCAATCATGCCGTGCCGAGACGCATGACTGTCCACCTGGTGGGAGAGCACCAAGGAAGCGACAGTGAAGTAAAGAGAGTAGCTGCTGAGCTAGAACACAGCTCTCCTCAGATAGCTATGTCCATAAGGTCTTATGAAGGCTTGTGGTTCAGAATAACAAAGCCAAGATAGCCTTCCTACAGAGCTGCCCAGACCACAAAGAGTGGGCTATCTACTTACTACCCTAGCAGGGGAGATAGCACTGTCTAGGCAAGGGCTCAAAGAGACCGCTACTTAAAGACCCTAAAAAAGGGGAACAGACACTGAGCTAGCACACAGATATCCTCAGATAGCTATGGACCAAGGAAGGGCTACCATAAGGGGGACAGACTGAAACTTCCCAGACCACAAAGAGTGGGCTGTCTACTTGCAAACATAGCAGGGGAGACAGCACTGTCTAGGTAAGGGCTGAATGAGACCGCTATTTAAAAACCCTAAGAAGGGGAGCAATCACTGAGCTATCAACAGCTAGTCCCGCACAGCTACTAAATAACCAGGTAAACCCTCCTATAAGGCTGCCCAGACCACAAAGAGTGGGCTATCTACTTACAACCCTAGCAGGGGAGATAGCGCTATCTAGGAGAGGGCTCAAGGAGACTACTACTTAAAACCCTAAGCAGGGGAGCAATCACTGAGCTAGCACATAGCTATTCTCAGGTAGCTAGGCTGTAGGATAAAGCACCACTCCATAAGAGGGCTCACCTCAACCGCAATGGAACACAGCTAGCCTCAGACAGCTGTATCCAGGTAAGCTCAACCCGCCATACCAATGGCTGGAATATCACCACCCTCAGATGGCTATACTAAGGAGGTCCCCAATCCGCGTCAGAGCCTAGATAGCCTTCCTACAGAGCTGCCCAGACCACATAGAGTGGGCTATTTACTTACTACTCTAGCAGGGGAGATAGCACTGCCTAGGCAAGGGCTCAAAGAGACCGCTACTTAAAGACCCTAAAAAGGGGAGCAGTCACTGATCTAGCACACATATATCCTCAGATAGCTATGTACCTAGGAAGGGCTACCAAAAAGGGGGACTGACAGAAACTACCCAGACCACAAAGATGGCTGTCTACTTATGAATCAAAGAGGAGAGACAGCACTGTCTAGGTAAGGGCTCAAAAGACCGCTACTTAAAATCCCTAAGCAGGGGAGCGATCATTGAGCTAGCACATAGCTATCCTCAGATAGCTACGCTCTAGGAAAGGGGACCACTCCAAGAGAGGGCTCACCTCAACTGCAGTAGAGCACAGCTAGCCTCAGATAGCTGTATTCAAAGACCCTAAGAAGGGGAGCAGTTACTGAGCTAGCACACAGATATCCTCAGATAGCTATGTACCTAGGAAGGGCTACCAAAAAGGGGGACTGACAGAAACTACCCAGACCACAAAGATGGCTGTCTACTTATGAATCAAAGAGGAGAGACAGCACTGTCTAGGTAAGGGCTCAAAAGACCGCTACTTAAAATCCCTAAGCAGGGGAGCGATCATTGAGCTAGCACATAGCTATCCTCAGATAGCTACGCTCTAGGAAAGGGGACCACTCCAAGAGAGGGCTCACCTCAACTGCAGTAGAGCACAGCTAGCCTCAGATAGCTGTATTCAGGTAAGCCCGTCCTGCCATCACAGTGGCCGGAATATAACCACCCTCAGATGGCTATACTAAGGAGGACCTCAAACCGTGTCAGTCCCAAGTAAACAATACACAGCTAGCATAGATAGCCTTCCTGCAGAGTTGCCTAGACCACAGAGAGTGGGCTATCTACTCACTACCCTAGCAGGGGAGATAGCACTGTCTAGGCAAGGGCTCAAAGAGACCGTGACTTAAAAACCCTAGGAAGGGGAGCAGCCACTGAGCTAGCACACATATATCCTCAGATAGCTATGTACCTGGGAAGGGCTACCAGAAGGGGGACCGACTGAAACTACCCAGACCACAAAATGTGGACTGTCTACTTATGACCCAAAGAGGGGAGAGAGCACTGTCTAGGTAAGGGCTCAAGAGACCGCTACTTAAAACCCTAAGCAGGGGAGCGATCACTGAGCTAGCACATAACTATCCTCAGAAAGCGAGGCTCTAGGAAAAAGGGGCCCACTCCATGAGAGGGCTCACCGCGAAGGGGAGAAGCCACTGAGCTAGCACACAGATATCCTCAGATAGCTATGTATCTGGGAAGGGCTACCAGAAGGGGGACCGACTGAAACTACCCAGACCACAAAATGTGGACTGTCTACTTATGACCCAAAGAGGGGAGAGAGCAGGAGATCCAGACCATCAGTAAATGATTCGCTAAAGAGCGAACACAAGCATCATAGTCCAAGATCAAGCCTGATGTAAGCAGTAGCCATAGCACAAGAGGGCTGGATACAGGTATCCTCGAATAGCAGTTTTCTCAGATAAGGCTGAAGATTGCCCAGGCCACGGAAGTGAGCCATCTATTTAAAACACCGAAGGGGAGACAGCACAATCCAGGCAAGGGGCTCACAGAGACCACAATCTAAAAACCCTAAAAGGGAAGCAGTCTCTGCGCTGGAACACAGCTATCATCGAATAGCAGATTCCTAAACAAAGACTTCAGCACTTACTCGAGAACTTGTGCCAAGGGGAACCCAACCTAGTTATTAAAATCTAGGCTAGAATATAGCTGCCCTCAGACCGCCATATTCCAGAGCAAAAAGATATTCCCCATAACGAAAAACCCGAAGACTCGAGAGATGAACTAATCAATTCTCTTTCCGGCTCAGACTGCATTGGTTAGCTTATGGGGCTGTCACGTGACGAATGAACGACTCGGAAAAACCCGAAGACTCGAAACAGGTGAACTACTTGACTAATTCCAGTACAGAACCTATAGCATGTTGCGCATGCGCGACTGAACGAATCACTCCCGGAGATGACTCGTTCCTCCCGAGTCACATTAAAGATTCGTACAAAATGAACGAATCGTTCAAGAACAACCCAACACTAATGCCCTCGAGTGTTAGAATCCAAACATGGAGGCACACATTCCCTAAGGCGCTGCTCGACTCAAGCGCTATCCACGGGATCCGATAACCCAAAAAAGGCTCATCTCAACCCCGCGAATACCACGATCCAAGTATTCGCCATGCCTCGGCAACAGCAGGACCCGAACCGCGAGACGCAAACGCTTGTCACTCATCTCTCAAGAAGAAGGACAAAAACGAATGGAGAATTGTGCCACAGCAGAAACCTCTGGAACAGAGGCACACACTTTCCACACCGCTCACCTGCCTTGGTGTCTCACACGCACTTCAAACAGACGACTCCTGAAGACAGCAAAGAGGATGCTTCAGACACCGGTCATGCAGGCTGCATTCCCCAATGTGCCCCCTAGGGGGCGCAGCGTTGAGTTCCCTAGAAGGGGAATCACATTTGCCACATAATGACACCAGGCTAACATATCTCACTTTATTACATTTTTTTATTTTATTTTTTTACTTAAACATGGGGATGATAGACCATCAGGTAAGAATTAAGTGTAAAGTTTTATTGATTGATTGATTTATTGCTTTTTGACTTTTATATTCTTCTTTATATTCTTTATGAGACTAGTCTTTATAAAACAAGTGTTGCAATCAATAAATATCTTAGAGAGAGAAAAAAAAAAAATATATATATATATATATATACTGCAAATAATGTGTTGGTCTAATGAGTGTTGTGCGACTGTTGAATATCATTGAATGGCAGTTTAGTACATAAATTATCTTGTGGGGTGGCCAATTAAATTCCAATTTACACTCAAAAAGGAGTCTTTTTCTAAAATTCTGAATTATGCCCAACCCTGGTGACAAGGTGATCCTTGTTCAACGTGTTTATGATTTCATAATTCATAGTTTAATGAAAATGATCAAATCACACAATTCAAACTTGTTTGAATGGAGTGTCACTAATTTTACTTTGAAGTATATCCTTAAGCTTTTCATTTTCCTTATCGTGAGTGTCGTCCTTGTGTATTTGTCTATTGGTTCCCTTTTTAACTGTAGAATTTGGTCAACTGCAGCACAGATCAAGACTCACTAAAAATAACAGTACACCCTAGCTGACTGGTTTTAGCACAGGCCTTGTTGAATGCTACCTGTTTTCTCTTTCAGATGCCCCTACCAGGCTACGCAGAGGCCTTTCCTCACCCTCATTATCCTCAGGGCAGCCCTCTCCTGTGGCACCACCGCCAGGCCGCTCAGGGTGGTCCGGACAATCCACCCTCCTCCTCCACTGCAGTGTCCCAGCAGAGTCTAGCAGAGCCCAGCGATCCGATCAGCCCCAACACCCCCCTCAGTAGCCTTTACACTTCAGCCCTAGTCAAAGCCATCCGTGATGAGGTGGCCAAACTGGCCAAGAAGCAAGCAGACGTGTTTGAGTTCCAGGTGTAGAACATTCTGGTGAATTCATGGACCAGCTGCACTGAGACTGAACAGTCTGATACATTTACGACTTCTGATTTCACCGGATTAAATCATATTTCACTGGATACTTTTTTTTCCTTTCAGTGAAACACCTGTCTGCTTTTAATACAGTTTTTGTGTGGTTCTTTTTGCCATTGTACTATAACATTGATATGTAATTAAACATTTTCTTTATTGTAGTATAACATTAATATGTATTTAAAGTTTTTATTTAATGGGACAATATGGAAATCTACAATGTTCTCGTTTTAGCTGTATTTTATGAAAACTGGCATGGTAATCAAAAGGATAGTCCACCTACAAATTTTAATTCTGTCATTAATTACACCCCCTCATGTTGTTCAAAACCCAGAATAAAGCATAAATGAAGATATTTTTAATATTTTCTTTTGTCCATCAATTGATCGTCCAATCAACCAAAATTGTCAAGCTTCAAAAAGTTCATAAATACATGGTAAAAGAAACCCATATAATTTGAGTGGTATAATCCAAATGTTCTGAAGAGATGCTAAAGAGATCATTTTATATTATGAACAGATTTAATTTACACTTTTGTTAACATATGAACATTTATCAATGCACATTCATATAGCACACGTGCACAAGCACATTTAAGCTTCTTCAAGAATGAGTACGTACTGAATAAGTACTGTATGTCTGACAAAAATGATGAGAGAATATTATCTTCATTTGTGTTCCAAAGACAAGCAAAGTTCTTTGGTTTGGAACAATGTGAAGGTATACAAATAAAGACAGATTTTTTTTTAGACTATCCCTTTAAAGTGGAAACAAGGGCTGGGCGATATAGCAAAAAAAAATTATCAACAATATAATGTTTCATATCGTTCTGTATCGATAATTATTGGCATTTTTTATAACCTTTTTCAAAACAAAGAGCAATAGAAAAAAAATGTTTAAATTTAACCACTGTATTTTTTTAAACTAACCCAATTTATTGAGACAAACAACAAATATTTTTTTGTTTTAACAGTCAAACACAAAATAAAAATTAACCCTTGTGCGGTGTTCATATTTTTGTTACTTAGCCAGTGTTCGTGGGTCTGGTTGACCCGCTGCATTTTTGGGTTTTTGATTCAACACAATTAAAAAATTTGTGTTAAAATACTCAACAGATGTTTACTTCATCCCAATTACAAGCAATATAAACAGCATATATGGTTGATATTTGCCCTGTACCTTTGTTAGATCACATTTATGAAATAAAGTGCTACAACCTTGTGCAGGATCGGCAGGGGCAGAAACACAGTGTACAGTGAGTGGTCATTGAAAATTTGTTCTGATAAATGTTCTTCACAGAAAATGAGCCAAGGCCAATGAGTATGAGTATAAAAGAAATAATTAATCATGTCATTTTTCTTTTGATAAAAAGTGAAAACGGGTCCCACAGACCCGAACACCATACAAGGGTTAAACAAATATCTAATTTTTAATGTTTTATATGCAGATTAAATAGGTCTTAAGGAAACTTTTGGCTTGTTTCCAGAGGCCACAGGAGGGCGCAATGAGCAAAATAATGTTGCGCATTAAACTGTCAACACAAGGAAATAACTGTCTATAAAAAAACGTGCATTACGTCTAAATAAACTCATATAAATCAAATATAATTTTGTAACTTGCATATACAATTATGAACAAAACAGCATCATGTATTTATGCATTGCTTAGCCTAATACAAAGAATCACCCATCACACAGATTGCCTTTAAAAACATATGAGACGCAGTGAAAAGGAATAAACCTCCACAAATTTGTGACGTGTTTTCTAAGTTTAAACTGTTTTAAGCATGGCTTTCTATACATCTCTTGTGTGAGACGTGAGTGTAGCACTCATATTTGTCCTTCTAAAAATGCGCTGAATTTGAGTTCTGTGTGAATGGCTTGGTTTTAACTAGTGCTGTCAAATGATGAATCGTGATTAATCGCATCCAAAATAAAAGTTTTTGTTTGCTTAATATATGTGTTTGTACTGTGTATATTTATTATGTATATATAAATACACACATGCATGTATATATTTCAGAAAAATATGTTGTTTATATATTAAATATATTTATTTATAATATAAATTATATGAAAATAAATATAGACATAAATACAGTACATGTAAATATTTTCAAAATATATACTGTATGTACGTGTATTTATATATACATAATAAATATACACAGAACACACATATTATGCAAACAAAAACGTTTATTTTGGATGCGATTAATTGTCACGGCGCGGTAAAGGAAACACACCGTGTAAACAGGGGTCTGGGTCCAAATGCAGGTTTATTAGACTGCAGGGGAAAAAACAAAGTCAAAAAAGAAAACAAACAGAGCTAAGACTCTGACACGCAGGCTTGAAACAGAAACGGACTCTGACACAATACGGCCACATCGCGATTAATCGCATCCAAAATAAAAGTTTTTGTTTACATAATATATGTGTGTGTACTGTGTATATTTATTACGAACACATGCATGTATATATTTCAGAAAAATATGTTGTTTATATATTAAATATATTTATTTATAATATAAATTATATGAAAATAAATATAGACATAAATACAGTACATGTAAATATTTTCAAAATATATACTGTATGTACGTGTATTTATATATACATAATAAATATACACAGAACACACATATTATGCAAACAAAAACGTTTATTTTGGATGCGATTAATTGTCACGGCGCGGTAAAGGAAACACACCGTGTACTGGCGAGCCACTCCCACGAAGTCCCTGGCGTAATCCTCAATGCACCGGTCTCCCTGGCGGACATTGAGGAACCTTCCTGCTGGACCCATGCTTGGCGGATTATTCTGTCACGGCGCGGTAAAGGAAACACACTGTGAAAACAGGGGTCTGGGTCCAAATGCAGGTTTATTAGACTGCAGGGGAAAAAACAAAGTCAAAAAAGAAAACAAACAGAGCTAAGACTCTGACACACAGGCTTGAAACAGAAACGGACTCTGACACAATATGGCCACGTAGAGCTTGCATCAGTCCCGTAACAACACTTAATAAAGTGGGGAAGGCGTATAAATAGCCCTCAGGATGGGCAACAGCTGTGTGTGTGTGTGTGTGAGAGTGTGTGCACAGGTGTGTGGAGTCAAGGTAACGGAGTCCGGGAGGATGGGAAGTGGCGACCTCTGGTGGTGAGAGGGAGAACACCAGACCCAGACCACTGACATTAATCGCGATTGATCGTTTGACAGCACTAGTTTTAACCTAATCAAGATCTTCTATGCATTGAGCTACTATATTTCTCTAATATTTTGAATGAATAACGCAGCAACTGCGCATCTCGTGGGCTAGACTAACAAAACATTAAACTACAACGTCACTTACATCATCATCACCGCATCTCGTGCTCACCGCCGCCTCGGGGAAACTGAGAGCGGACACCGCCGCCTCGGGGAAACTGAGAGCGGACACCGCCGCCTCGGGGAAACTGAGAGCGGACACCGCCGCCTCGGGGAAACTGAGAGCGGACACCGCCGCCTCGGGGAAACTGAGAGCGGACACCGCCGCCTCGGGGAAACTGAGAGCGGACACCGCTGCCTCGGGGAAACTGCGAGCAGACCACACCGCTCGTACCGACATCAGCGGAGGTTCCCGCACGCTGTGTACCAGCCCGCGATGCTCCAGGAACAGCGTGAGGTACTGGGTGCAGCAGACGAGGTCTCTGACGACCCTGGGATTGCCGCCTCGGGAGAACTGTGAGCAGGCTCTGCAGCCAACTCCATCCTGACGGCTGAGCCGCTCAACTGCAGAGCCAGGTTGACGTAGTCCTCCAGCGCCTCCTCGGGGTGCCAGAATGGCATAAGGGATTTGAAAGGCTCGGTTAGGCCACCCCAGAAACAGACCATTGAGCAGGTCCTCTCTGTCGCCGACTGGCGAGCCACTCCCACGAAGTCCCTGGCGTAATCCTCAATGCACCGGTCTCCCTGGCGGACATTGAGGAACCTTCCTGCTGGACCCATGCTTGGCGGATTATTCTGTCACGGCGCGGTAAAGGAAACACACCGTGTAAACAGTGGTCTGGGTCCAAATGCAGGTTTATTAGACTGCAGGGGAAAAACAAAGTCAAAACAGAAAACAAACAGAGCTAAGACTCTGACACGCAGGCTTGAAACAGAAACGGACTCTGACACAATACGGCCACGTAGAGCTTGCATCAGTCCCGTAACAAACGTAATAATCCGCCCAGAGAGGCGTGGGGAAGGCGTATAAATA